ACATCATATTAAAGCTCTTTGAATGGCCTCCATTTCATAGAATAAAACCAAAATCGTAGCATGAAGTGCAGAGAAAATGCGTAACAAAATGACCTTTGACCTCGAATTACGAAAAACAATATGCTTCAAATTTTGTAATTTTTTTTCAAATGTTAGTTAATGATGTCAGCAACAATCTTAAAAAAAAATTGGGATGGGCGCTCTTAAAGTTTTTAAGTTATGATTTTTTGAAGAAAGCCTGTCCATGAAAAAGTATGCATAATATTAAATGTACATGTACATGTACATGTATACTTGTACTGTGTACATGTACATGTGTACATTTTACCTGTGCATCATGTTTGCCCTTTACAACCATATAGTCTCAACTAATATATATATTAAGGGCAGAACAAAATTACTTATAAAAAATATGTTATACCGGTCTATGTTACTTTCATTTTTTGCTCAACCAAAGTCTGTGTTGCAGTGTTCATCTCCTCGGCGGAGATCTTGTATACGCGTCCTGTTTCAGTGAACGGTTCCACTGCTGTTAGTACATCCTTGCCATGAATTACTGGTCGATAGGGGAACTTGAAAGATGGAGATGGCCCATGGGGATGAAGGAAACTCAGTTCCACTTCTTGGGATGCTGGAAGGATCTCCTGAACACATGCTAGCCACCAGTAACAGTCATACATCACTGTAACATATCCCTTGATATCTGCAAAATCAATACATGCAGTTTGTCCATGGACTTGGAGACAAACTGGTTCCTCCCTTGAGTCTGAGGAGGAGGAAAAATCATGCACCTTAATTTTGTCTTTAGACATCGGACAAAAACAGTGCAGCTTTTGTGTTCCTGGAATGGTACGTGCAATTTGGAATCTTTGCCTGAGAATATCCGCTTCATTCTTGTAAATAGGACGAATGAAAGTAAACTGTTTCTAATATACATGTCAAACCACCTTGCCGGTTCCTGTCTGACAATGGAGTAATTGGATATAAACCCTATAGGGTGATCTCATTTTCGGTGATTGAACCATCGCAAAATAGATGATATCAAATGGATTTCTAGACATGAATATTTGAAAATGATCAAATTTATTAATTATGCTTCTTACATTAAGTTGAGCGAACGAGAAACCCTCGGAGCTTTGATTGTAGATAACACCGTCTGGATATACGTTTATTGTAGATCCTTGTTCTGTGGATTGAGCATCTCTCTGACCGTTTGGAGGTATTTGTTCCATTCCTGGCCACGATAGTGTGTGTGGAGAGTTTTTATCTCAATCGTTTGGTGTTGTGGTTGATTGGGGTTGGTTGGATGCCGTTTCCGATGCGGGTACGGGTAGAACCGGCTGGCTATCTGGAAAATCGTCCAGACATCTCGGTTCGCTGCAGTCCGTTTCTTCAGGACGTCAGAGTACAATGTCTTCCCCAAAAAGGGTTCTCTGATGAGGGATGCAGTGTGAAGTCGTGCCTCTGGTGTTCTTCGGTGAATCTGCAATGTGTTGGACTATTCGTGGCATGTGTTTAATAGCTCTATGAGTAGATGTACTCCTGTCGAGTTAAGGTGCACGCCGTCAAAAACCACACGCGTTTTGCTTTGCGATGGAATTCATCAGATTATTTGAATCATACCTTCTTGCGTGTTGAAGCGCTGATTGGTTTTTGCTGTGTATAATCGATGAGATTGTTACTGCTCTAGCTTTAAGTAATTCGCCGAGGGATGATCTTTGCCGCTATAGTCTCTGGGTGGTCGGATGTGTTGTTGGTTCCAACATGAAGAACTATTCCAGAAGCATCACTTGACAGATCAGACGCACGCACATCATGCATATAAAGATGAACACAAAACAGCCAGCTTTCCTAGCTGCAGCCGAAACCTGCTCACTGTGGGGTTTATTATATCGACAAAGATTCACAAAGTGCTCGCAGTTGTTGAGGATAAGATTGTAATTAATCGGCGTTTTGTCTCCATGCATTGTTTTTGCCATTTCAACGATGTCGTTCGGATGCAAAGGTTTTATTTTTTCGTCTCTGGAGTTGTTGATCCTCACCTTGCCGGAACCGCCGAGAATCTCTCCAATCGTATCAACTCGTATCTCGGGCTTTTGACTCGGTGCAAACCCACTGCCTGAAACCTTCTTCGTGGAGTACCGCGCCCCTCTTTCGGGTATACTGAAATGTATGACGGCGTGTTGCATTGAGAGGTACTGACCGATGTATAACCCCCAATGTGCGTACACACCGCGGTAAAATTCCAGCATGTCACCCCGGCGAACTGTTCTTTCCAAGACTTCGATATTCACAGAGGTACGCCATCTTCCCAACAGTCCAATGTTTTTGCTGTTTGCCATTTCCCCGACCTTTCGAATGGCCAAATAATTGCGAGATGAGGCTAGCTATACTGTTTGGCCGGCCTCCTATATGTATGAATGAATAGTTACAGCTGTGTGTTAATAATTAACTACTGAGCTATAAATGTTGCAGTCGTGATATTCTTTTTGCTATCATTATATTGCGTATATTTTCTATATCCACTATATGCAGGTAAACTTTGGTTAGGCCATGCAAAATTAAATGTTTGTTTCCGGTTACATTCTGAAAAAAAATTGGGTAGGTAGGTACGAAAAATATTTTATTTTGGGAAAAAAATTTGATCCATGATTCAACTTAAGTTTTGTTTCCAGAATCACACCTGGAAAAATAAGGGTAGGCAGGGAAGTAAAACAAGTTGTTTTGCATTTTTAAAAATCCATGATGCAAGTTTACTGTTGTTGTATTTGTTGATTTGAACATTTTCGTTGTTTTAAATGCTATTTGCATTTCATTTCAAAAGATTTCAAATTGACATTGTTTTCTTTGAACACATTAATAACTCTTCTGCTCTTTTGAATTGGTCCAATAGGATCCTTCACTGTTCTGCATACTGGAATTCCATGTTGATTAAGCCATGATGTTGTGTTGGCATATAGGTCTTGTGCAACCACCTGATGAACTTTGTGTGAGTTTTGTCATGAGACTACAGCGTATGTAGTCTGATGTCAAAGGACCACACAGGGCCTGCCCCTAACACACTAACAAAAAGGTCCGAAACTATTTGAGCAATAACTCGCGGTGTATATCAGTTTATGCTTCAATAAAGAAATTGAGCGGTTTGTAGCACTCGATTGACGACTATGTTATTACTTGCTTAATCATGAAAATGGTTGAGTAGATATAGACAATCCTAGTTTAACAATTTGCAAGATTACCTTAACCAGTTTGTAATTGCATTGCACAACATTATATGTTTCTAATGTAAATTTGAATTTCAAACCTGTGGCCGACACATCCATTTTGAGAGTAGTGTAATACACTAATGTAGTATTCTGTGCCAGCCGAATCAAATATATAGTTAACATCTCTCCGACTCAAATTCCCATCGTATCAATCTCCTCGGTGGCATTTCAATGCAACGCAAGTGCTAGATATCAATGAATGATGCGCTAAATTGATTAGAACGAGTTAGCTTCGCGAGACGAATTTCGTCAAAAGTAAGATGTGAATAAGTGTATTTCACTGCTCTCAAAATGGAGTCTTGTGCCCTTAAGTTTGTAATTACACTTTACAATAAAGCCAATATTGTTTTCAAGGGCGGATCCAGAACACAATTTGAGGGGGCCCAAAAAAAATTTGGTCCCCCATAAAAGTGGGTCAAAAAAATTACGGCGTGGGGTTCGGGGCCCGCTTAAGGGCCCCGAATTTTTTTTGGATTCTAGATGCTCTTTGGTGCGATCTGAGGCAATTTCTGACTACTTTAACCAATGTTTTCTTGAGGAAAAGATGGTGGTGTACTCATTGCCTGCCTTTATTGCGATGTTACATAAAAACAAAAAATTGGTTTCGTTTTTTTTGGGGGGGCATGGCCCCCTTTGGCCCCCCCCCCCCGGATCCGCCCTTGATTGTTGTTGAATGCAATTAGAACACCCGTCTAGGTCATCTGTTTCGAAACAATTGTTAAAGCAACCACGCATGCCTTTAATCCACTCATAAATTTCAAGTTCAGTCTGTTAACTCCTTTAATGCGGGTTACGCCGCAGATCGCCCGGGCGCGGGCCGGGCTGCACACACGACGTCGGAGGTGGCCCATAAATAAAACTCCCATTTACAGTTCATAAATAAAACTTCCCCTGATGCCTTTGTTTATTACAGTCAATGATCAGTGAGCGAGCCCGGGCGCGGGCTGCCACGCGAGCCCGGGCCGTGTGGACAGGGGACAATCAGCGATTTGCACACACGACGTCGGGTGGCCCATTACACTTACAGTCCATGATGCGCGGGCTGCCACGCGAGCCTGGCTCACCGTGTGGACTGGGGACAATCAGCGATTTGCACACACGACGTCGGGTGGCCATTACACTTACAGTCCATGATGCGCGGGCTGCCACGCGAGCCTGGCCCACCGTGTGGACAGGGGACAATCAGCGATTTGCACACACGACGTCGAGTGGCCCATTACACTTACAGTCCATGATGCGCGTGCCACCAGGGGAGCCCGGGCCGTGTGGACAGGGGACAATCAGCGATTTGCATTATAAGATCTAGATAGCGGTGGGAGAGGGAAAACATGGGATTCCACAAGTTCCATAACACTATGACAAATGGAATTCAAAAATGGAATTTTTGGGCGGCGATTTATTTTTCTTTTCGATTTCTAATTTGTTCTTTTTTTCCTGGCGGCGAATCTGTAGTGCAAGTAATTTAGAAAATGCCCAATACACAATGCTTCATAATGGTAATATTTGGATGGCACCCTTTGTAATTTACATAAAAGGACAAACACCATGCACCACCTTAGCTTCCTCGATGCCGCATTCCGATCGCCTCGACCGATTGTTGATTTGCTGACTGCAAATTAGTCTTTCATTATATAACTTATTCAGTAATGACTAAATAAAGTTATTCATTTTGACGAACAAAATGTATCAAACATTATTTTGATGACCGTGTTCTTTGAAATCACCATGATTTCACTATTTGTTCCATTCCTGGCCACGATAGTGTGTGTGGAGAGTTTTTATCTGAATCGTTGGGTGTTGTGGTTGATTGAGGTTGGTTGGATGCTGTTTCCGATGCGGGGACGGGTAGAACTGGTTGGCTATCTGGAAAATCGTCGAGACATCTCGGTTCGCTGCAGTCCGTTTCTTCAGGACGTCAGAGTACAATGTCTTCCCCAAAAGGGGTTCTCTGATGAGGGATGCAGTGTGAAGTTGTGCCTCTGGTGTTCTTCGGTGAATCTGCAATGTGTTGGACTATTCGTGGCATGTGTTTAATAGCTCCATGAGTAGATGTACTCCTGTCGAGTTAAGGTGCACGCCGTCAAAAACCACACGCGTTTTGCTTTGCGATGGATTTTATCAGATTATTTGAATCATACCTTCTTGCGTGTTGAAGCGCTGATTGGTTTTTGCTGTGTATAATCGATGTGATTGTTACTGCTCTAGCTTTAAGTAATTCGCCGAGGGATGATCTTTGCCGCTATAGTCTCTGGGTGGTCGGATGTGTTGTTGGTTCCAACATGAAGAACTATTCCAAAAGCATCACTAGACAGATCAGACACACGCACATCATGCATATAAAAATGAAGACAAAACAGCCAGCTTTCCTAGCTGCAGCCGAAACCTGCTCACTGTGGGGTTTATTATATCGACAAAGATTCACAAAGTGCTCGCAGTTGTTGAGGATAAGATGGTAATTAAATGGCGTTTTGTCTCCATGCATTGTTTTTGCCATTTCAACGATGTCGTTCGGATGCAAAGGTTTTATTTTTTCGTCTCTGGAGTTGTTGATCCTCACCTTGCTGCCGGAACCGCCGAGAATCTCTCCAATCGTATCAACTCGTATCTCGGGCCTTTGACTCGCTGCAAATCCACTGCCTGATATCTTCTTCATGGAGTACCGCGCCCCTCCTTCGGGTATACTGACATGTATGACGGCGTGTTGCATTGAGAGGTACTGACCGATGTATAAACCCCAATGTGCGTACACACCGCGGCAAAACTCCAGCATGTCACCCCGGCGAACTGTTCTTTCCAAGGCTTCGATATTCACAGAGGTACGCCATCTTCCCAACAGTCCCATGTTTTTGCTGTCTGCCATTTCCCCGACCTTTCGAATGGCCAAATAATTGCGAGATGAGGCTAGCTATACTGTTTGGCCGGCCTCCTATATGTATGAATGAATAGTTACAGCTTTGTATCCTGCTCATTAATATGCTGGCCAACTTAATAAAGTTAATAATTATGTTCCCTGCGTACATCTCCTGCAGTTGCCCATGTGGGTCATTCTATAAATTTAGGGTCCAAAGTGTGACATTTTTCCTGTCCCTGTTACCTTGGTACTAATTTGCCATTCAAGCATCATTAAAAGTGACTTCAAAATCAAATGATTGTTATTTGTTGGGTAAGTAGTTTGCTATTCATAATCACTCTTGGAGGATGACTGCATTGCATCAGAATTATACAATCATAGATGTCAGATGTAACAGGGACGGGAAAAAAAGTGGACCCCAAATTTATAGAATGACCCATATTCTAAATGCATGAATGTTATTCGTCCGTGCATAAGGTCTGGCAAAGAGATGGGTCCTAGCTCTATGGTCTCGGCGGCAGCAAAGAGTGACTGCGTGGGTGGATTGGACGGGTTTTTGACGTCACATCTTGGAGTTGTTTTTGATGATGGGTTAGAGCAACCATGTGAATCATATAGAAAAAACATTGAACTCGAAATGTACTGTCTGAGTAAACTAAGGAAAATAAGATGATATTCTATCACTCGTTTATTTTATTTGTAATGTGTGGACCTACTGTTTGTTATACAGTGAGAAATTTCATTATAATTGACAACACCATCATACGAGCTAGTAGAATAACCAATGAGTGTTTGCCATCGAAGGGTCAGCAATCAGCTGCTTGAGAAGCTACGACTGGTGTGGGGAGACGTTAGTCATCCTCTCCACAGCCGATTTATGGGTAACATTATTCCACACAGCTGTAGACACAAACTGATATCCTTCAGTTTTAACCGGCAGGGCTATCAACTGTCATAATGAAGCTTTTTAAAGTTAAATTTTTAGTAAGATATTCCCGGCTATTTAAAAAACAAAATTTGTTCGAATTCGTCCAGCAACACTTTTTAGTGCACTTTTAATGTTTAACTTCGTCTTTTGTCAGACAATTTCAAATTTAGTCCAAACGAATTCAAACAATGAACACACGTTTTCGACCCGGGGTATTCGATTTCGTTTCGTCTACGCCGAATCGTGTTATTCAGAAATCGAATTCTGGTACATACAAAAACTACAAAATTATTTAAAAGAATACACGACAGACTTATTTACAAAGAGGTGTAAGGCAAGGAGATTCTCTTAGCCCATATCTATTTATTTTGGCTCTGGAATTATTGTCATGTTCCGTTCGGGAAGATCCCAATATTAAAGGCATAGGCCTATCAGTGAAAGATAAAGAGATTAAGATCATTTCAACATGTTTATGTTACGAGTTGTGTTATAGCAGATGAGCCTTCTGCAAATAGTTATTGAGTCCTTTAGGAGGGTTTCAGGTCTTAAATTAAATGTGAATAAGTCTCAGGCATTATGGTTAGGATCTAAGAGACATTGTACTGATACTCCTTTTAATGTGATATGGGCGAAGGAGCCGGTGAAGGCACTTTAAGTCTATGTTCAAAGCTTTACGTATAAAATGGGCACAGAAATAAAGCGAAGAGAATCAAGCAGCATGGAAAGTATTATTTAATGAATTTACAGCTCCCTAGTATGGAGGACAGTTGCTTTATTATTGCAATGTTAACTATAAGCAAGTGAAGTCGTGGAAAAATATTCCGTTATTTTATAAGGATGTGTTTAATGCGTATTTTGACTTGCTTCAACCGGACAAAATAGATGTTGCATTCCAGTGTATTTGGAATAGAGCAAAACCATCATGTCATTCGCGTGGCCGTTTGCTCGGCACGTAGCTTACCGTGTGCGGTCAATTTTTGAGGCGTTTTCTGCCTCGCAAGGTCGTGGAATAGTAGGCGGAAACTTAAATTGAAACAAACACCAAATGTGTCAAACATTTGATGATCGTGTTCTTTGAAATCACCAGGATTTCACTAAGTACATGTATTGTACATAGATGTGTGACCTGCCATGTCATAATGAGTTCTAACCCCACCTTTAACTTGTTGAGTTACACACAATGTTAAACAGCAACTCATTGGCTTTCTAATGATACCAAATATATTTCTGTAGCTCAATTTATTCCGAATATATACCGCGAGAAAGTCGACAGTGCGACGCCGGACTTCGGCTCCGTCATTTCGAGAGAAAAAAATGTATGTAATTTAATATAGCTTTAAGATTTATCGCTACTTAACACCCCCAATAATTCATCTTTGCTTGAACGAAGGCCGTTTACATCTTCCTTGTTGACACAATTACGTCGTGTTTAATGTGCAAACAACGTGTGCGATTGCACGTGGCCCGACATTGACTCAAAGTCCGGTGGCGTTGTGTCAGCTCCCGTTCGCCGCACGCTGTTCATGAACGGCGCGTGATGTACACGTTGCTTTGGGATCCCGAGGATGGAACGCTCGGTAAAACCTAATCATTTTCTATTGTTTTTCCCAAAGTAGATTTCACAATGGGATATTGGCATGTTATAGACACAAAACAGCATTTATTGTACCTTGTGGACTGTATCAGTAACTTTCAGTCGGGAAAAGTCGAGAAAATTCAAAGTGCACCAAGACCAAAAGAGCAAATGGTCTCATTTCTATAGGCCTTTTCGGATATTATCGTAAGTTCATCGCTAATTACGCCTCTGTTGCTGCAACATGCACTCACAGATACAATCAAGCGTAACGAAGTCAAATAAGATGGACTGAAAGTCAACATTTGACAAATTGAAAGCTTGCCTCGCGAAATCACCAATTCTCATGCTGCCAAATATATATAAAAAAAAAAAACATGTGTACTCCGCACTGTCATGACGAATCCGATTTAAGGAGGTAGGCGCCGTATTGTTGGAAGAACGCGATAGAGACGCTTCTCCCAATCGCTTAAGTCAGCAGGAAATTGTTGAATTGCGAAAAGACATGATACTCTTCCATGCAGAGAGAGTGTCTCACGCTTGTGTGGGATTAACATAGGCCCTTTGTATTGCACAGAATCATTGTTACTGAGGATTTATTTGCAATGAAACTGATATAAAAATGAACGATCACAACTTGATTGTATAATGTGTTATTGTTAAAATCTGGACGACTGTAAGCCGCTCAAAAATCTGTTTAGGATGAGTTGTTAGTATTGGATTTACTTGTATTTCATTCAGATGGCCAATTACTTGTCAGAAAGGCATTAAACCTGTGTAGCGGTTTTTCCAAGACACATATGTTCGTGGACTCTTTTTTACCCCCTTTAATTAAAAAAGTCCCAAAAATAAATTTGAAGAAGAAAAATATTGTTTGAAAAATGACAATTGGTGGATTCGACCCAGGGATCTTTCGATCTATAGTTCTTCTCATTCATCCACCATGAGTTGACACTTTTCAATGAATCAATCTCTCAGCTCCAGACCTCTTCTGTAGCATCTGTCAGTGGTGCATGCCTTGTGGGATTTTCATAAATAGTCTCCATCCAAACAAAAATGTAAGCGTTGACAGCTAGCTGGGACGGTATTATTTCTCCCATCCACGCCAAAACAGAGCGAAACCGCCACGGCCGCATCGGCTTTACTTTGTTTCCTCTCTTTCAAGGTATCCCCCTAAGAAAATTCATTAGGGGAGGAAGGGGTGGCACGGGAGGGAGAGAATTTACGAGAGAGACTTTTTTTGGAGGGGGGTTGCCTAAAAAATATGAACATTAAAAAGGTTTATACATATGTTGTGTTGCTAAACACTACCGGAATCGACGAGGACAAAACTCAAAGAAATATAAATACGGAGACCAATTCTGGGTCCAAATAATTTATTTCTGACAACTCAACTGAACATAAGATAAGATTACATCGTGAAGCGAACAGTAATAAATGTTGGGCGTTGTCGACGGCGCCTCTAGACCAACTGCGCCGAGTACAATACAGTGGTTGACTTATAAAGACAGCCTTGCATAACATGACAATTGCATTACTGAAATTCCAATCGGCCCTGCAGCCGCAGACCACATTTAAAGGAAACACAATAATGCTTCACAACATACGCCCCCTCTTTAACAGAATTGGCGCCTGGCAATTAAATTTCAACGAACGATAATTGATAGAATATTTAATTTTCTGCAATGTTACATTTCAACTATTAAATAACTTGTTTAACAAAATTCTATTCGTTTGGCTTCTGCAATGTTACATTTCAACTATTAAATTAACTTGTTTAACAAATTTCTACTCGTTTGGCTTCGCCCAATCCGTCATCAATCTTCGATAGTGAAAGCTCAGCAGAATCCCGCGCGGTGATCCTTTCTCTGGAGGTAGAGTCTGCAGAACTCCCAAGGTGGTTTCCACGTCTCACTGTCGCATCATCATCTCACATCCTCGCTCACTTTCACACAACCGTCCTCGTTTCTCCAGGTGCTGGCTTGTCATCGAAGCTGGACTACTGAGCCAAACTTAAAACTTAATAAATTTAATTTCAATCATTTGGACCCTTATTTTTTTTTACATATATATTCACAAAAGAAACAGTTAAGTGGTGACGTCGACAACAATGCTGTATATGGATTCTTCTCCATTTAATCCAATTATTCTTCTTCTTAATCATTATAACATCTTAATTAATATTCTTCACAACATGCGTCCGTAAGCACAATCAGTTTCAATAATTTTCAAATGATTTTATTGTCTTGGTAGGCATTAAAAATGCAAGTACATTACTTCTTTTTGCAGCCAGTTATACGAACCGGGTTTGTCTTCAAGTACTCAAGGCATGTAGAATTCAAATTGTCTACAGGTTCCCAAGAATTATGGCTACTAGGAAAATTTTTCCACTTTACCAAATATTGTAGCTTGTTATTTCTGTATCTGCCTCTGAGAATACGTTCAACTTCAAACTCGACATCATTTTCAGGGGCGAGATTTTGTGCCACCCCGGGGACAATCTGAATTGGATTCTTAGTTTTCTGTTTTGCTTTCAGTGCCACGAATGAGTCTTCAGGACAATCTTCCTGTACCAAGTCGTCTACTGAAGTTCTGTGCTGGGGATCTGCAGGGAAAATGTCGTTATTTGGGCGAACGTATCGGTCATAGACAAATTTCATACGGTTTACATGTATTGGTGACGACAGCAACTTATGGTTTTCAAGGTTTCTTACTCGAAAATTTACTGGACCCGTTCGTTGTACCATTAGATATGGTCCGGCCCACAGCTTCATTAGTTTCTTTGACAATCCTTTTTGAGACACTGGAAAGTAAATCCATACTAGATCACCAACCTGATACTCTACTTGTTTAGTGGTTTCATCATAGCGTTCTTTCATTTTTGCTTGGTTTTCTTCTGTGCGACGTTTTGATACATCTCGAAATACTTCCAACTTTGAAACCAAATTATGTATATGATCTCTCAGTGTCTTATCTTGATAATCAAGTCTGGAAATGAGTGCCACGTCCAACGGCAATCTTGCCTCTCTTCCATACAGTAGGAAGAATGGACTAAACCCAATTGAGTTATCTGCTGGAGTTGAACGGTAGGCAAACTGTATAGCTGTGATATACTGGTCCCAATTTGTCTGAAACTCATTCACATAATGCGACACAGTGTCCAGAATTACAGAATTGAAACGTTCTTGTACAGCATTACACTGTGGGTGATAGCTAGAGGTATTGAGCTTTTGAGTCTGCATAATGAGACAAACCTCACGAACAATGTTACTCAGGAAATTTGCACCTCTGTCACTTAATAAGGTTACTGGGCAACCATGTTCACATATCACATAATCGAACAATGCTCTGGCTATTGTTGCTGCATTAGTAGTAGCTAATGGCACTAGAATGGGCCACCTAGTACAATGATCGGTAAAACAAAGTACATAACGATTACCAAAAGTTGTAATTGGCAAAGGGCCCAATACATCCACACTGACTCTTTCGAATGCGTCAGGAACTATCATGGTAACAAGTGGGGCTACAACTTTATGTCTGTGTGTCTTTCTTTGTGAACACGAGCGACAAGAGCGTACCCAGTTATCTATGTCACGGTACATGCTCTTCCAGAAGTAGCGTTGGCGTACTTTATGATACGTTTTCTGTAGCCCAAAGTGTGCAGCTAAAACATGATCATGACAGTTACTCAATACAATGTCAACAAAACATACCGGAATATACAGTTGAGTGACCACTTGTTCAGGAGTAGTCTTCTTCCCATAGACTTGCCACTGTCTGTACAAAAGATCTTTATCAACAAAGTACTGGTCAGCTTGTAACAATAGATTTCTGGCTCTCTTGGCATCATGAGGTAAATTGTCATTTCTCAAATAATCCATCATAGGCCCAGCAAAGTCATCAACCAATAATGCTTCTTTAAACTGATCAAGTTTTAGTTCATTTGGAAAAGGAGGCACATTTAGTTTGACTGGATCACCATTATTTACATGTCGTCTGCCTTTTTGGTAGCGAAAATTTCTGATCACGTTGACGGCAGGCTCATTTGCCGAACTCTTTGGATCCTGAAAAACATCGGATTCAATTTCATCTAAATCAGAATGCTGCCACACAGGATCTATCTTTATCTCAAAGTTACACGATGATGCAACATGACAGTGATCACAATCAGTACAGGCTTTCACGGAACTTATTCTACTTAGTGCATCTGCATTTAAGTTCTGACGCCCCGAAACATGAATTACATCAAACTGATAACATTGTAATTTAAGCGCCCATCTTGCAAGTCTACCATTTTCTTGCTTTTTGTTAAACAGCCATTTCAGGGCACAGTGATCAGTCACAACTTTGAATTTCACAGTATGTTGTAAATATGGGGTATATTTCTTAATACCTTCAACTACTGCCAATGCTTCTAACTCAGTAGTGCTGTACTTCCTCTCAGCTTTGCTCAATGTCCTACCACCGTAAGAAATCACCTTTTCTTCACCATCTTGCTGTTGAGCTAAAATGAAACCTAAACCAACATTACTAGCATCTGTTTGTAAAATGAACTCGGTTCCATCAAATCGTGGATAGACTAGAACAGGTGGTTCTTGCAACTTTTGTTTCAGTTCTTCAAATGCATCTTGACACGTTTTACTCCAAACAAAAGATGTATCTTTGCGTGTCAAATTGACTAGTGGCTCCGCTATTTTACAGTAATCTTTTATGTACTTTCGGTAATAGCCTACTAATCCCAGAAAAGATCGTACTTCTGACACTTTAGTAGGACATGGATAGTCCTTGATAATTTGAACTTTAACTGGGTCTGTGGCAACACCATCTTTGTTAACTATATGCCCCAGGTATTTCACTTGTTCTTGACCAAACGTACACTTCTTGGGTTTGAGCTTCAATCCAGCTGCTCTAATACGATCAAAGACTTGTCTCAAATGGGACAAATGTTCATCAAATGTTCGACTGAAAATAATCAAATCATCCAAATAAACGAGGACAAATTTCCAGTTCAGCCCTCTGAAAATTTCTTGCATTGCTCTCTGAAAGGTGGACGGAGCATTATGAAGACCAAAAGGCATTCGCTGAAATTCATAAAGTCCATCTTGAGCAATAAATGCTGTTTTTGGTTTGGCATCTTCTGCCAGGCCAATTTGCCAGTATCCAGAAGCAAGGTCAAGTGTGGTGAAATACTGAGGTTTTGCCAAGCCCAAACTGTCCAAGGTATCATTGATATTCGGCAATGGAAAATTGTCTCTAGCAGTAATTTCATTGAGTTTACGAAAATCAATTGCAAATCGATACTCGTTTTTACCGGCCTTAGGCACGATACACACAGGAAAACTCCAACTACTTGTGGACTCATTAATGATGTTGTTGTCAAGCATATGGCTTACCTGTTTTCGTATCTCCGCTTGAATATGGGGAGAAGTTCTATAAGGTCGGGATCGAATAGGGGCATGGTCACCGGTGTGTATCTCGTGCTTAACACCTGTATAAAAACCTGGGGAGTCTCCTTCCAACTGAAATATACCTGAATATTCACACAGTAAATCAGTTATTTGATCAACTTCCTTAACTGTCAGATGATCTGTATTCAGATTAACTTGAGAAAACAGTTCTTGTCTTCTCGTACAATCAGTGGTTGGATCATTTACGACAGGCACTTCAATAGGATGATCCGATTGGACACTATTAACGTGGACACTAGTGTTTTCGTCAACTATATCAAACTGATGAACACAGTATGAATTTATCGGTGAGAATGTGCCTAGCTTAGTACGAGGGTACAATACAACAGGTTCGTCGGTTACATTCATGACCAGCAGGTTTACACAATTACCAACGGTTATTACAGATGACAAAGTGTTTGCAACCAATACACCCAAGGCTGAAATGCGTCTTCCACCATGACAAAGACCTGGAGACCCAATTGCATGTCGATCAGAAAGCTTTGCACAGATTACAGACTGTGAATGTGGAGAAATGTCTTGTCTTTCTTTCACTCTTATCTGACTTTTCTTTTTCAAGTGTAGTTTACCAGACCCACAATCAATAACTGCTTTATGTAAACTTAGGAACTGTGTACCCAGTATGATGTTGGTACTGAGATTCCTAGCTACTCTGAATAGGACGGTAAAAGGTACATTTTCTATAACCATCGGTAGAGTTACTAATTCAGTGATTTGTAAATTACCGCTATTGGCAACTGTTACATCAGACACTGGTGTTCCTTCCACTGATTTGGATAAAGACGGAAAATTAGTGTGGAACCATTCATGATCAATAACATTTATATCTGCACCGGTGTCAATTAAACACTGTATCGTCTTATTGCCTATCTCTGCAGTTATGCTATTAGACTGATTTAAAGTTGTCTGGAATTGATCATTGGGAACACAACTTACTCGTACACGTCTAAATGGTAAATATCTGTCACAATCTTCAGACCTACTCTTATTTGCCCCACCTTTAAGTGTCTGAATCAACTTCTTTTGTCTCCAAAAAGATGGGGGAGCTAGTTTAACTGTTGTCCATTGACGTCATATTTAGCATAGCACTTTCTCCACTTGTGGCCAAATCTGCCACAGCGATAGCAATGGAATGATCTAGATTCATCATAGGCATACCCAGGCTCATTCACACTAAATTGACCACTGGTTACATTGTTAGGCCTCGTATCAACTGCACTTCTGGAATTTGTTTTAAGTTCCAGATTCTCTACCTTAGTTGCTAAATCCTTCACAATGCTAGCTATTGTGTCTAGTTTGGACTCGAGCATCTGGCCGGAATTCAAAACATTTACATTGTTAGGTATGGATTCGTTGGCTGTAAGTTGAACAGAAACAGCCAAACGGGCCGCGTTAAGTGCTTCATGAAAGGTCTTAGGCTCCTTAGAGAATACAAAAGCCCGAAGTGATGGAATTAAACCACGCACAAACAATGATAATTGTTCGGACTCCGACTTCTTGAGCTGCTTACACAAGTGCATAATGTCACAAGCATAATCATCTAGTGATTCCGTAGAGAGTTGTTTTCGGGAAAGTAGCTTTGTTTCTACACCCCAACGCCATGAATCTCCCTCAAAATGATCTTTCAAAATGCGATAGATCTTGTCAATTGTGTCTTTCTTAGTGGATGGTACCGATTCTAGTAAAACTCTGGCGTGACCATCAATCAAAGTTTGGAAAGCCAACACCTTCTTTGTGTCTGTATAATCTCGCAACACTGCAATTTCTTCGTACTTCTGAACAAATGAATCTAAATCTTCATCTGGAGAACCAGTATATTTGATTTTAGCGGACGACAAGTCATATTTAAACGCCATCTCGACTTTCTTGTCCGCATGAACTTCAGTCATCTCAATACAAAAAAAAAACAACCAAAAGTCCTACAGTCACATAGATCTAATGAATAATTTACAAAATACAATCGAAGGAAAAGAAAAAAAAACATACGCATTGCTGTCTCAGTCACCAAAATCAAACAACATAATTATCGACGCCACCTATGTACAGTTTTACTTACCTAAATTAGGCAAGGACAGCCGGTCCCAGGCGTGGTCCGTCGACAACGCCACACTCTTGCCATGGTTGCAATTTTCAAATACCCGGATCTTCCACCATATGTTGTGTTGCTAAACACTACCGGGATCGACGAGGACAAAACTCAAAGAAATATAAATACGGAGACCAATTCTGGGTCCAAATAATTTATTTCTGACAACTCAACTGAACATAAGATAAGATTACATCGTGAAGCGAACAGTAATAAATGTTGGGCGTTGTCGACGGCGCCTCTAGACCAACTGCGCCGAGTACAATACAGTGGTTGACTTATAAAGACAGCCTTGCATAACATGACAATTGCATTACTGAAATTCCAATCGGCCCTGCAGCCGCAGACCACATTTAAAGGAAACACAATAATGCTTCACAACACATATACCACAACCACTGGAAGTTTTAAAACGTCCGACCATGTAGAAATTATCCCTTTCATTTACAATCAGTGGCGTAGCCAGGAATTTTTCAGTGGGGGGCGCTGCGGGAGGGGGGGGGGGCTGGAACATTTCATGGGGGGGCGTCATGTAGATCAATGATAATTTTTTTAGAAACTCAAAATCTCAGTGGGGGGCGACTGGGGGGGGGGGCGACGACAAGGTTTCATGGGGGCTGTTGCCCCCCACGCCCCCTGTTTACAATTAATGTACAGGATGGGGAATCTCTTTGCCTTTTCAATAATGTCACCGTTAGCATTATTTATGTGCCTGTTCGTTATTGGTAAACTGAACTTGCTGAAGCCACCGTTGACCTTTATCCTGCTCCAGCTGCCATCATGACCGTTAATGATGATTTAAAACCCAACTAACTGTTTTGCAATGGAAATTATATCCCAGTGGTAACCCCCAACGCCACCTTTGTTCCTGCTGCGTGATCATCAACTGGAAACAGCACAATCAATCAAACTCCTTGGCATACTTATTCAGAACAATTTGAAATGGGACATACACATTACAGACCTGCTTAAAGGAGCGGGTAGAACATTTTACATGCTTCGTCTTCTCAAAAGACACTATTTACATGTCCAGGATGTAGGCCTCTTCTTGAATATGGCGCACCAGTATGGGATGGAGGATTGACTAATACTCACTCTGACCTCCTCGAAAGCATCCAAAAACGGGCTCTTCGAGTAATCGTCGAAGGTGGTTATAATAGTTATTCTAAAATGCTGTGAGAGCTCGGAATGTCCACATTAAAACAATAATAATAATAATAATAATAATAATAATAAACATTTATATAGCGCTTAATACATAAGTTTTGAACAAAGAAGAGAGACTAAAGGTAGACTATTCATTTAAAAAAAACCATGGAAACAAACTGAACAATTTAAGAACTACATCTCTCCTCCTTATGAAAAGAACCCTCAGGCATTCAAATGAACTTCCGAACTTAAGTGCAAGACAAATATAATGCAGCATAGTGCTGTTCCCCATGCATCCTGTACATTTTTATCATTCTAAATGAAATGGATAATTTCTATGGTCATAAGTTTTAATCTTTCAATGGTGTTGGTTGTTTGTTAATGTGTAATCCTTTACAATTTTGATATTGAGTGGTATACTTTTTATATTCAATTTTATATTTTCAGTAATATATATTTAGAATTATTCGTGAGACAAAATTGTGTCACCTAATTTGTTTGCTAAATATTGTTTTAAATGTTAATCACGCTCAATTCTGTCATTTAATTGAATTAGTGAGGACACTTTAATTCCATCTAGAAAGGTGAACATATTTCCAACAAGGAGAAGGAAAAAAATTGAATTAACACTTAACTGATAATTACATGCAGCAAGTTTGGAACGGTTTTCGTATGAATCGTTGCTGCTCAAAACCAGACAACTCTCATCACTTCCTTCTGTATCGCTGGACTACGATAAGCAGGCGCAGATCCAGGAATATTTTAGACTGGGGGTACACCTTTGGGGAGTATTTACCCTGAGAACTAAATGCGAGCGATGAGCGCGGAGCCCTTTACGGCGTGGGGTTCGGGGCCCGAAATATACGGCCCGAAAAATGTGAGATTCTAGATGCTCTGTATAGGGAAATCTGAGGCGATTCCTGGCATTTTATTTTGGCAAAGGAATAACTTAGTTGGTAAACTGTTGCAAGGGTGCTTTCTAATGTTTTTTTTTCAAGATAAAATGTTCATTTTATCAATAAGAACAAACATTTAAATAAAATTTAAGTTAAAAATTAGTGTAATTTAATCAAACTAAAACAGAGGAGCAATTAGGCCTCCATGTACATTGTAACTTCACAGCTCAGTTTTATCTCACGACTAAAAAATTAAATCATGCGGTCCTCCAAGTGTCTCCCTCTTTTTTGCATAATGTAATTGCCCAAACATTTTACAGAAAAATATTCTTGGTTTTAAATTCAGTCCAGTTTCAATTTCAAGAATAGGGCCTAGTACATGTACATTTATTTGTAAATAAACCATCGGCAGATCGGCGGCGCAGCAAAACAAATTGGTACAACAATAATCGTAGTCCGTATACATGCGACTGGTCTCTTGCAGAAAATAGTCATCGGGCCTTTCGGCACCACGATTGCAATTCCCACATGGTGCGACACATTTTGAAGTTGACTTTGTACTTCTTTGTGTAAAGGAAGTGGTTGTTAATTCTTGTCTTTATTTAAGCATTATGAATGAAGGATGCTTCGCACCATGGAAGTCGGACTCGGTGATAAAATGATGAGAATTCAAAACCAGAAATTATTCAAGAAGACTAGCGACAGAAGAAATAATAATAGAACAATCTTATATAACGCACAACATAACAGAAAGAAATCTCGATGCACTGAACGCTCCAAAACCAACGGAACAGAGTGGGCACAGTACGGTCTATCGCTTCGCAGAGACGGCCAGACCGAAGCGGGAGCGCACCGCTACGGTGATGGGTGAGACAACAGCTGGACGTGGGCCAGTAAATAGATTTTATGCGGCGCATGAAGTCTATTTGTAGGATTATTTATTTATTTTATTTACTCCATTTCTTCACCCAGAGTATGCCTTAACAGTTGAAGACTGGTTTCAATGGGGCCCTGCATACAATTCAAATTATTAAATAATGTTAAGTAAAGTACATTGTGAAACATACGACGAACATTAATATTCACAAATACAAGTATTTCAGAAATGTTAAAGAAATAAAGCCCTTCGCATATTTAAAACATTCAACGCCACTGGGTGCTGTCGTTAAAGCTATATCGAATGAGGATTGAAGCATGCACTCAAATGATCCGAGAATGTGGGAGCTGATTTTCTTAGTCGTCAGTAAAGATGATTCTGTTGCTTGGAGAAAATGTAGGATATGTTCTTGAAAAGGGGGGCGAATTGTCACAATCTGGTTTTTTTTCTGGTACTTTTTATTTTACGCGTCAACTCATTCAAGAAAACTTGAGGAAAATTGAACTCTTTTTAAATGTGTACATTATGATTATTTGTAAATAAATCGTAACATTTGAAACATAGTAAATAAACTTTGAGTTCTACCCGCTTTTATGTTGACTATTTTGCCCGGGATTGACACTCATTCGTATCCCAGACAGGATATATTTATTGATGAAACCAAACACTGCTTTTACCGAGTGAACAATGATTATTCATTCAATTCAATTTAACATGGTGATTTTTATTTCAAAAAAGATATTTAAAAAAGAAATTAGGTGATATATTTTGTGCCTCACGAATAATTAACATATTATAAGTTTTCCCGGCTAATTTTCTGAAATGTTCATTCTTTTCTGAAAATCGGTCATTCGTTTTTGTCTGAATATGAATGCACATCTTTAATCCCATTTCAATTCAACGAAAGTTCAATCGTTTTCATTGTCTGTGCTTCCGGTTTTTAGAAACAGACGGCCAATTACGTTACCTGTACATTCATTTACGCAAGCACACCTTCTCTAAATTGAAGGGCAAAACCAAATTTGACTCCTATCTTTGCAGAGAATCTGTGTGGTTATTTCAGTACCATACCATACATGAAAGGGGATCTAATATAGTGCTTCAATACATTATTGGGTTTTTTTATAACAGTTTCCGTACGTCTCTAACCAATGCATTTTACTGAAAAAGCAGTGAGTTTCAAAATACTTTCTAAAATCCAAATATTTGTTGGTCAAAATTTCGACCCAGGAAAGTAATTTGGTTCAAATAGGAGCGTTTTGAAAATAGCTTTCGACAGTCTAATCTGTATATATGTACACGTGAACAAAGCGATGTCTCAACAAGGATACACATTTCGGGATAGGTGAAATACAACGTGTTGCCGAGCGCAAATATCTTGGAGTTATTTTGATGATAGGTTTAAAAGACTTGAGCAACCACGTGAATCATATAGGGAAAAGATTGAACTCGAAAATATAGAAACTGAGTACGTTTGATGTCAGGAAGGAAATTAAGATGACATTAAAACTCGGCTGTTTGTAGTGGACCTACTGTTTGTTATGTTGGGCTGCAATAAATTTGTAATGCTGATAAGACAGAGCCGAACACATTTTCGACACCATCTAACGAGCTAGTAGAATAATTTATTATCAGTTAGTATTTGCGATCATGGACACAGCATAGCTATAACAAATGTCAAAATGATGATTATATTAGATAATTTGTAAAGTATTAATTATTGGTTGTTCAGGTGGACTAGGTTTTACACTTTTTGCATATTTTTTACACTTATCTACTACTGTTCTTTGGGGAATGAGTTTTTACAAAATTCAGCTGTCCACCACTGATCACTTTCACTGATCAGTTTTCTGCTAATAGGGCACTTACTGCTATTAGGGCACTAACCTATAACACTAGATGAAAAGAGTGGGCACGGTACAGGAATCCCGGGACATACCGTTATTTCGTTTTATTGTTTTGGATTTCCTCAAAAACAAAAACAGTAAACGAACCATTGACCGTTTTGTCGTTTTACAGTTTTGTAAAACGATCAAACGGTATTAAGTCACACACAAAAAATACTCTTTGTTGTTGTTTTTAATGTATAAAAACGACATTGTTTTGTTACAGACTTGTATCCCTCACATCAGTTAATTTGTTAAATTACACATTTTACAGTCACCAAGACTTTGCCCATAAACGAACAAGAAACGAAAATAGCATTCAAATTCATCTTGATAGTGGCCAATTTGAAGCAAATTAGCTCCCTGCTGTCATTCCCGTGGTTCGTATTAGTTCAGCCGTTCCGATTCGTTGTCAGACCTAACATTTTCATGTTGAACACATCCTAAATTGAAGATATGTCATTCGGTTAAAATGATCATTTAATTTAGCAGTCTGTTTGGTTTAGGGTTATTTGCATATGAATCTCATTTTTGTTTCGTCTCCGCGCATTCTACTGGCTGCATTCAAAAT